GAAATTACCAAGGAGGGGGAAACAATGATCGTGTTTGTCTCATGATAATGGATGACAGGTAATTGACTGTAAATCAAATAGCCAATGCCATTAGTATATCGGGTGTGAATATTTTTATTATGCGCAATGAATTTGGTGGGATGACCGTCTGTGATCCACACAGAGCGCTACGTTTTCTGGCACCTGATCAAAAGGTCGCCATGCTGATCAAATCACGAGAAAATCTGACATTGTTTGAAACAGATCCAGCTTGTTTCCTTGGATGTTTCTTAATCCAGGAAGAATGCTGGGTTTATCACTTTGAGCCAGAGCCTAAGAGACAACCCATGCAGTGAAAACAGCTCTCCTCACCATCTTCAAAGAAGGCCTAGTTTGTTTCATCTTTAAGGAAAATGATAGCCTTAGTTTTTTTTTAGGATGAAAAAGGCATTGTGTTTATTGGCTTTAAAAGAGCGAAACCATGAATGGAAAGTACTATATGAGGGACTTACGAAAGGCTATCAAGATCAAACGACCAGGAAAACTAACGAAGATGTCTTGTTTCATCAGAACATTCTCCAGCAAACAAGCCCTTATTTTCAATGGCTGCTGTAGCTTTGAACTGGTTTATCACCTTCACTATTCTTTTAACTTTGACCCCATACCACTTATCATCTCTTCCCCAAAATGAGAAAAAAAAAAAAAAAAAAAAAAAAAATAACGCTTGACTGGCAACCATTATCGTAGTGATGATGACGTCTCATCCGCTGTTGATGACTTTTTTGACTAACAGTATGAAAGCTTGTAACTAATAGGATCCATGCAATAAAACGACGATGAAAGAAGTGTGTGCATCGCAATTGAGCGTATCTGCACAACCTATATTTAATAAGTATTTTATAAATTCCAAATATATTATCTATCATATAGCAGTTTTTCAAATATTTAATATGCAATAATTTTAAGACAGAAATTTACCAAGAATCCTTACTTAATAGAACAGGCTCCCGCGAGGATACTTCCCTGAGAACTCATAAACTTTTCATAATCTTGGGTCAGTTGTTATATTCTCATAATTTCCAGCCGCCTATTTCATCCATATCACTCATTCCATTCAACGAAATCGTTAAAAGACACCTTCTTAAGTTTTTGGACGGTTGAATTATAGTGTTGATTTCAATATTGTAGGCAAATGACGGCAAGACACTTACCCTCTGCTTTTTATTGGCAAAAGAAAACAAATACATGCTGTAATTTTTTTTCTTAGCCAATAAAATAGGCCGGTTTGCACTTTGATATGACTTAGTCTCGATATAACGTTTGTTGAAGTCAGAACGCCACATTGGCTTGCCCGAACTTGATTTTGTGTGTCGACGTCCATTCTTAGTTTGTGAAGTTTTTGCCGTCTTACTGTTAATTTCTTTTGCATATTGTTGATCTGTGGCACGTGCAGCTAGAACAGTCTACCCCAATGAGCGAAATAAATGGTTCAGATCGACATTACAACCACCTGAGGAAGGCCGGAGCGTACAATGTCCGAAACGTTGTAATAAATATGATGACAAAGATGAGGACAATAGTCCGAATAATAGAAATAGTACACATAATACCTCATCTTGGAAATATAGACTGATAATGAAGGGCCGAAACGTTGTGATCAATATGGCGACAAAGATGACGACAATAGTCCGAATAATATAAATAGTGTATATAATACCTCATCTCAGAAATATAGACGGATACTGAAGGGCCGAAACGTTGTAATAAATATGGCGACAAAGATGAGGACAACAGTCTGAATAATGTAAATAGTGTACATAATACCTCATCTCAGAAATATAGACGGATACTGAAGGGCCGAAACGTTGTAATAAATATGGCAACAAAGATGAGGACAATAGTCAGAATAATGTAAATAGTGTACATGATATCTCATCTCAGAAATATAGACAGATACTGAAGGGCCGAAACGTTGTAATAAATATGACGACAAAGATGAGGACAATTGTCCGAATAATGTAAATAGTGTATGTTTATGGAGTCTGCAAGTAGATTCTAGTAACATCGATTCCATCGCGTGTTACATAAATATTTAGTTTGTTATGTCAAGAGGCTGAAATAATAAAATTTTGCTTTATTTTATCCATAGTTTTCTTTTGCACATTTGAAAATAGATTTGGGAATATGGCTGCATAATATGGAATATGACGATGAGTTTCTTTTTTATTGCCTATCACATTTCTTGAAACAATCGTAATTAGTTTTAAAAAATGCATTAGTTTTTTCGCATTTAAATTGCTCATTAAAACCAATGTTTTAGGCAGAGTTAATAAGACAGATTTTAATTGCCCGTTGGGTGTCTGGATAATTATTTTGTAACCGTCTTTCTTCTCTCCAAATCAATCCCTTCCTTCTCAAACTAAACAAATTTTATATTCATTATATGAATGTAAAAAGTAATGATGAATAATAGACTAATTTGACTCATACTAATAAAACATAATTATACCATTACATTTTATTAGAAAATGACTCTATTGACAAATATGGAAGAACAAGACGTGAAAAAAATATTTTTTGAGAAATTCATAAAGATCTCTGGCCATCTCTGGCCTTCATATGGAAGCCCTGCATGGGGACACACTTGTTCAGGAATATTTAAACTGACAGATATATACAGCTGCTTTTTTTTTAAAAGATCGATGCTTTAAATAGCCTTTCAGAGCATGAAACATATAGATCTTTATGAGGACAGTCATACTGGAATTGTGCTGCAGAGATCTGAAAGGACTCTACCAAATAATATAAACAGCCTTAATGTAGGACTTTCAGCATCAGCAACAATTAAAATGGATAGCACATGTAACTCGAAGTTAAAATGATGTCATAATCAAGATGTTATCGTCCCTCCCTCCTTGAAAGAAAGGTTTAGGAAAAAAGCCTTAATCAATATTGAAAGAACAATAACATTGAAAAAAAATGACAATAGAAAACGGAACCACCTATTTTATGTCCAGTAGAAGCGTATAACTTCTTCTGCCAACACCTCATAAATAATGTTCTATTCCGTTTTGATAAAAAAAACAAAAAAACGCGTATCAGAAGCGCGACTTGTCTTCAGTGAGCTAATGAAAAGACAGAAAGAAAAAGAAAAAGAAAGGAAAGCAACGAAAAAGAAAGATAGAAGATTTTAACGTCTGTTTCCATGAAATGGAAAAAATAATTAATTTCAAATCTTTTCATTTGTATCCCCTTACTTCTTCAAATAAAGACCAGCATTCATATTTATGTTTGTTATTGCAATATTTTGTTAAAGTTGTTAAGCTCAAATATTTAACGATGCGATAGGGTAATTTCTAAGGTATTTCTACTTTACAATAGAAAACCGAACCCTCTTTTTATGTCCAGTAGAAACTTATATTAATCCTAATTAAATTTCATCAGTTTTTATGTGATAATTGAAAAGGGGGATTAATTTACTACTTAATGACAATAAAAACACCGATCTCCCATTTTATGTTCAGTACAATCTTATATTAATTCTAATTTCATCAGTTTTTGTTTAAAATAAAAATGTTTTTTGTTTAAAATAAAAATGTCACCGCAATCTCTTTATCAAAGAGGCGATTTCCTGATGTTGTCGTCCTGGAGAGACAAACATGGTGTGTGTTAGTGATAGAATATTCTTAAAAAGCATACGATGAATTGACCTAAGATTGGTTAGCGAAATTTCGTAGAGGGAACTTCCTCTTCCTCTCTTGTCGAACTCTGCCTCCGAGTGGAGAGGAACCTAGACGAGACCATGCCGAAGGGCAGTCTCGTTTGGGGCGGTAGACAAACCCAATCCCGTGTATTCGGGCAATTTTTCTCGGAACGATACACATTAAAAAATGGCTTTGTGACACATCTTGCCCTGTGGGGAGGTTATTAAATTAAGTCGGAACTATTCAGAAGCCGATTTTTGTGCCAGGAAATCTTTCTCGCTGGAGTCGATCCTTCAAATCTACAAATCAACCATTCGCCCTTGCATGGAGTATTGGTACCATATATGGTCTGGAGCCCCTTCTGTTTGTCTCAGGGTTCTTGATAAGATCCAGAGACGGATATGCAATATAATTGGCGCTGATCTGGCATCTCGTCTGCAGTCGCTCTCTCACAGACGTGTCGTCGCCTCCCTCTGTCTTTTTTACAAATACTTTCATGGTAACTGCTCCAAGGAGCTGCTTTCGCTGGTCCCCAAACTTCATGAATTTAGGCAGGCATTTCACTCACACCCTTTCACCGTCGAAACTGTTAAATGGAGCCGTTTCTACTACTCCAATAGCTTCATATCTCGGACCTCTCGCCTGTGAAACTCCCTCCCCTCTTCCTGTCCTCAGACATCCTTAATCTCCAACTATTGAAATATAATGTCAATCGACGTCTCCAGATGCCTTGATCTATCCCCTGTCCTCCTCTTCATCCTTTCCTCTATCACTCCTATTTGCTCTCACTCCAATTCTCTGTAACCCCTTCCGCGCTAGTGGCTTCCCGCCTTGACTGGGGTGAAATGCTTAAAAAAAGTAACAGGTCATCATAGCCAAGTTTGAGAATAGGGACCTTGTTGAAACTGTTGGTCAATCTAGATTATGAGCTCTCCTTAAGAAATTGTAACTATGGTCAACTCAATGTAGTTGCATTATAGACCACAGTTTGGCACCATCGGTTTTTGAACATAATAAAATATACTTGAACAGCCATCTGTATCACGTATCAACTGCATTCGTTCTATTTCCAGAAACGTAAAACAAGGTGATCAATTCAGTGTAAAACTAGGTGTTAGTGTATGAACTTTTTCCATGGCAAATTTTCCTGAAATTTGGGCGAACATTTTGTTATAAAGTAAAAACTTTGAAGAAGTTTATAAAAGACCTTTCTAGCTGATGTATCCTCTTTGGGGTAGGAGAGATAAAATCTCAGTTCTGTTCAATTTAAATTCAGTGCTGTAACCACGGAGCTAGATTAAGAGAAATGTTAGGAAAATGCGCAACGGAAGCGTTCACAACGCCGGTGGCCAAGTTAGGCGTGTTTATTTATGTTGGCGATGTCTCATGAAAGTTTTATGAGAACGGGAGAAAAAAAAAAGATGGAAGATGATGGGTGGTCGGAATCGGGGGGGGGGCTTTTGTTTGGCGAGAATTGATGAATGGATGTAAGTATTACAGACATGCCTTTATCTACATCTACCTAGCTCTATGCAGTTTGGTCAGTTTTATCACATTCAGCGCATATCTATCTATCTATCTACCTATCTTTCTAGCTAGCTAGCTCAGTCTTTTCATATCTATCTATCTATCTATCTCGCTAGCTAGCTAGCTCGTTTTTCATATCTATCTATCTATCTATCTATCTATCTATCTATCTATCTCTATCTCATTCTCTTAATATTTATCTACATTATTTACCTACCTACTTACCTACGTACCTATCTCTCTCTCTCTCTATCTCTCTCTTTCTCACTATATATATATATATATATATATATATATATATATATATATATATATATATGACAATATCTATTCTTCTGAAAAAAATTTTATCTGTTGAGCTCTCTGGGGGGAAATGTGGGTTTTGTAAACAGTGACTATAACGGCTAAGAATGCAAGACTCTTCGTTAAATCGAATCGAGTTCTCTCAGTTACTGTGTGTTTATCTAAAAATATCCAAAATCACAGCAGGACCATTATCTATCTCAGTCTGTTCATATCTATTTTTGACATCATGTTCAGTATCTAGTTATCTCTCACAGCATGTTCCATATCTATCTATATATCACAGCATATCTATCTCATCTATCTATCTATCTATCTATCTATATATCTATCTATCTATCTATCTATCTCTCTCCCCACCTCTCTCTCTATATATATATATATATATATATATATATATATATATACCACAGCATGGCCATTATCTATCTACCTGTTAATGTTCAGTATCAATCCCCCCTCTCTCTCTCTTTCTCCCTCTTCCCCCCTCTCTCTCTCTATATCTCTATATATATATATATATATATATAACATCATGTTTATTGTCTATCTATCAATCTCTCAAAGTATGTCCAGTATCTCTCTCGGTTTCTACACCTCTCTCTATTTACTTTACTCTCTCTATAAGTCTACAATTTGGTATATGGATGTATATATGTACCTATCTATCACAGTATGTTCAGTATCTCGCTCTCTCACTCTATCTATCTATCTATCTATCTATCTATCTATCTATCTATCTATCTATCTATCTATCTATCTATCTACACACACACACACGTGCACGCGTGTGTGTATCTCTCTGTTTGAGAATTGTTTCGTCGACGAGTATAGTTTGTTATCTCACTACATCACAGTAGTTATATATGGAGGTTTTTGCGGTCGAAGCATATGCAGGGAAGTGTGAAAATGCAAGTCATTTCTCGTCATATTACTCTTAATCTTCAGCAACAAAAGGACTCCTGACTGGTTGGAATTCTTTGAAGAATGTCGTAGAAATCTATAAAAAAATAACCGAGCCTTTTAGAATAAACGAATCAGCCATTATATCGAACGCCGAAAAAGTGACCAACACTACCTATAAATTAATTATGTGATCTTAAGATATTTGTGGGGGATATTCCAATAACTCTGAAACTAGTTGGCATACACATTCTGGCATATTTCTGTATATGGGTAGAAAATGAGTTAAGAGAATATACAAACAGAAGAGGGTGAAAGACAAGGATGTGTCTTCTCGCCGGACTCATTGAAGCTACAAGGTGTGGCGATTCTGAGAGAATTAGATGTCTTACTAAGATTGTAATTGGCGTCGGCAATCTTAATAAAAATGTTTACATGCAGGTGATATAGTGTTGATAGCAGACACAGAAAGGAATCTAAAACAATTCCTACAGAAGGAAGGAAAGCGAGAAGAAAGGACATCAATCAAACAATTGCAAGAAGATAGAATGCATGTTTTTTTTTAGCGAAAGAAACAATCCAATATGCAAATTTATAAATTGCTGATACCGAAATCAGACAAATACTACAATTTAAATATCTAGGACGTCTTTTAACATAGAATAGAAAGTGCGACCCCGAAACCGCACATTGCGAAAGATGCCTTTGAAAATATAAGCAACGTATGAACAAACAGGGAAAATTCGTTACAACAAAGAAAATAGTACGGAACTGTTACGTAATATGTCATCCTACATGGTAGACAAGGCTGAACAAACTCCTTAGAAGTGTAGACTTTAAGCAACAGAAATGTAGTTCTACAGAAGGATGCTGAGAATACCATGGACCGAACATGTCAGCAACGAAAAAGACAAATACCTTTTTAAACATCTAAAATTCGAACGGAAAGCCTTTCAGGATTATGACCATTAGCAGACTATCGCTATTCACCTCCTCGGACGCTTTTAAGAAAGTTGCGTCATTTTCAGCTCTAATAATATAATCTGTAAAAGTTTCGGCACTAGCTTTGCTTAATTTTAAGTACAAGGAAATTACTTTTGGTTTTTCTTGTGATAAATAGTGCTTCTTCATAATTTGCAACGCTTTTCAGTCATCATCAGAAACTTCTCTTCTAATAAGAGACAGACTTTTAATCATGGAGAAATTGGATTTATTCAGCAAATGCGTTTGCATTCATTTCACTGTAATCTTTATCATTGCGACGATCAAATATTTCTAAGATTGTTTCGTGTAATCTTTCGATTTTCATGAATACTAAACAATTTATCTCTTGGAGTTCTTATTTCGATTCTTTATCGTTGAAACAGAGTCCATTCCTGTTCTGATAATCTGTAGCGTGAATGAAAACGGTTAAGTTCGAAAATAAATGACAGAATTGTCCAACAAACCGAATTGACAATCTTTGCAATAATAAGAAAAAGAAAACAGGGAAATAATATATGCAAAATAACAGTAAAAAGTTCCCAAAATACGAATTGGAGTTGACACACAAGAGGAAGTTCGGACAAGATAACGTAGTGTTGTGACTTCAAGACAAGACATACCAGGGCTGAGTCATTATTGTATAAGAAAAACAAAAAAAAAATAAATAAATAGAATTGTGGCACAAGACCGAAAGGATAGTGGGGGTGAGATTGGTAATCAGATTTAACCTAGCTTATATATATATATATATATATATATATATATATTTATTTATTAAGCGTTTCACTCCAAGCAAGGCGGGAAGCCACTAGCCCCAAGGGGTTACAAAGAATTGGAGTGAGAGCAACTAGGAGTGATAGAGGAAAGGATGAAGAGAAGGATAAGGGATAGATCAGGGCATCTGGAGACGTCGATTGACATTACATTTGAATAGTTGGAGATTATAGCTATCAGGAAAACAGGAAAAGGGTAGGGAGGTCCATTGGCGAAAAGTGCGAGACATGAAGATATTGGAATAGAAGAGACGGCTACATTTAACAGTTTCGACAGTGAAAGCGTGAGAGCGAGATGCTAGCCTAGTTGAACGCTTAAATTCAGCGGAGCAGTTACCATGAAAGTATCTTGATCTTATATATATATATATATATATATATATATATATATATATATATATATATATATATATGAATGAATGAAGAAATATAGTTTTAAGGTGTGATATATTTATGGGATAAAGTGCTCAATATCAGAGATGGAGCGTATGCAAATATATGTATAAAAGTGAACATTGAAATCAATACTCAGAGGCGATAGGCTGTTTCATGCTGAATGCAATCGTCAGGGTGGCTTGGCGATTGCGTCCAGCAGGAAACAGCTTGTCGCCTCTGAGTGTTGACTTCAATGTTCACTTTCATATATATATATATATATATATATATATATATATATATATATATATATATCCAGGTAAAATGAGAACAAATGGAGTATAAGTTCACAGTACGCAACATTTAATTCAAAAGGTTGGGGGTCAATACAGAGTAAAACTAAATATTATTTATTTTGAGATATTAAAACAAATATCGCTACACAGTTACAATCATGTTTTAATACAATAAACGTCAAACCCCTGGCGAACGAAAGATTAATTTAATTTCAAATACATATATATATATATATATATATATATATATATATATATATACGTGACGTCCCCCGGTGTCGCTGCGCCAATCGTGACGTCTGCCTGGCCGCGCCCACCGTGCTGTCCCAGTCACTGCGCCGATTATGACGTCACTCCGTCTGTCTCCGCGCCGTCCTATTGTCTTGTGACGACCAATGTGACTTGGTATTGGTCGCGGCACCAAATGTGACGTTCTAACCTTTTGCTGATTCGGATGGGAATCTGGTTAGATTCGGTATCAGCCTTGTCGTTCCCAGCTCGCCTTCAACGTCTGCTTACCGAAGTAACTGTTTTGATTTCTAGTCTAACCTACCCACGTTGTGATTTGATCTTAGGTAGACGAAATCAAACAGTCGCCGGGCCGTAATGCAAGCTGAGTCCGGACAAGGGTAACACCACACAAGTATATGTAAAATAAAATAAAATAATAACTCGAAAATTTCAAATGTGTTAAAAAGGATAACACTATTTTATATCTGGTTGCTGAATACAGGACTGCATCTTTCTCCCAAACCGCTAATATGGATTCGTGACACTTTGCGTTTGTTAGGCGAGACTTAACATCTTAAGTTGTTTGTTCTTTAAAAAACTGGTTCTTGATGTATCTTCAGGCGATATTCGTAAAACTTGTTTTGGTGGTGTGAGTCTAAGTCGTTCTTCAAAAATAAATTGTTCTCGGTTAGAAGTTGAGTTCGGAATTGCGTGGAATCTTTCAAGTCAGCTATCTGCGAGGCGGGCCCAACTCAATCCAACTCAGCTGCGAACTGCGAACTTCACTCGAACTGCCAACTCAAATGGAACTCAACTGGAACTGCCTTTCACTCGCTGCGACTCTGATTATATGGACGCCGACCAAAACCGGGGTGGGCTTGTCGGGGTTTGAGGTTCCTTGATAATTCTAAATCCACAATCCACTTCTTTGTTTTCGGTCAGGAAAATTTATAATTTTCCATTTTTGGAAGTCTTTCGTCCTCCCACCTTCTGTTGTCATATTGGTATCTCAACCATACCCTTAGAGGGTGTCAACGGGTTTCCTCTCTCTCTCACAGTGGCATCTCATACCGATCCCTTCAGCAGGGGTGTCAACAGGCCTCCCCTCCTTCTTCACATGATTATTTTCGCCAGCCGCTCACGCCAGCATTCAGCCAATGGGCGCCCAGCAATGTGGGTGTGGCCAGACTGGCCTCGGTTTAAAAAACCTTGCTCAAAGATAAAAAAATATCTTCCTTTTTCTTTTCTTCCTTTCTTTCCTTTCTTCTGGCCGACAACAAGTCCTTAGACTCTTATCTTAACCGAATTTCATATGGAATTCGTCACTCGGGACCTCCGCCAAACAAGTGAGTGGTCAATTGGACGTATCGCACCTTGGTGCCAATTATTCGTTCTGATAAAATAATTTTGCTATCATAGACAGCCCTGACAATAAAGAGGTGTTTTTCCCAAATGACATGAAGGTGGTTCAACGAACATTTTGGTTTCGGAAAAGTTTGACCTAATTAATTTTTATCTCCCAGCACTCTGCGGGAGGTCGCTTGTCCAACTTGAAATTTTTACCATTGCCATGGACAGATTGGTATATCTTATTCGGTGCATCGTCATAAATTAAATTAAATCCGACACATCCGCGACCTTACTTTCCTCGCTAATGAGAATAAAACCTTTAGCATTTAAAAAGAATAACATCGCTTAGTGTCCTTTTCGTGATGGCTTCTTATCACCTAAATTTAATTCTCGCCTTTCGTTTTTTTCTTCTTTCATTCTAGCAACATAAATAGTGCCACAATACACAATAATGGCATCCCAAATTTCGAGAACGGATTCTATAAGGGAAGGTAATCTTTATAAACCTATTCTGCTTATTTTCTTTTCAATCTGAGAATGGACACAAATCACTTTATGGTATCAAAAAGAATTAATCCATTTCGATAATTTAATAGACGCCATTTTCATTAAAGTATTTCCAGATTGCAATTCTGTTCTCGTCATATATCTATGAAGAAGTATGGTTCTTTTTTACTCTAGTGTCATCAGCTGTGTTAACGCTTCTTAATTTGTTCTGAAAAATCTACCGTTATCTATGTTTTTTTTTTTACTTATTCCTTCTTTTTCTTCTTCCTCACTGACTGCAAATTATTGTTGTAATAGGGGGGGCATGTATCTATTAGAGTTTCACTGAGCAACCCTAAAACAACTACCATTTTATCTAAATATTTGGCTAGCCGAGGTACCCGGTCGTTGC